GCCAGACATCTAACCTGTATTAGGCTCTTTCACACCCTTAGTAATATTTACAACCCCACTGGCTAGTTGTTATCTACATCTTATCCATGAACTGAGAGTAAAAGACTAGCAGAAAAAGGATTTCAACCAAAGTCTTTCTGAATTAAAAGCCCAAGTTCTGTACTCTATGCTTCCTTTCAGATGATTGACAGGTTTCCCTGACTTCAGATACACTCTGCTATCTATACTACACAGACCTGTCAGATTAGTCTCCCTAAAGGGCCACTTTCATCTTAACATGTGATCTACGTTTAAAAAATATACAATGGGCCGGGCACGGTGGCTCACGCCTGTAATCCCAGCACTTTGGGAGGCCGAGGCGGGTGGATCACGAGGTCAGGAGATCAAGACAAACCTGAGCTGAACATAGTGAAACCCCGTCTTCTTACTTAAAATACAAAAAAATTAGCTGGCGTGGGTGGCGGGCACCTTGTAGGTTCCCAGCCACCAGGAGGCTGAGGCTAGGAGAATGTGTGAACCAGGAAGGCGGAGCTTTGCAGTGAGCCGGAGATGGCACACTGTACTCCAGCCTGGGTGACAGGATGCGAGACTCCATCTCAAAAAAAAAAAAAAAGAAAAAAAAAATACTATATAATATATAATATATATATAGAACACCACACAACACACACACACACACACACAGAGGCTGGTTATCCTATAAACTTAGTTAAGGTCCAAATCCTAAGCCTTTTCCTTTCCAGTCCATCTGCTTCACAATTTCCCAACAAACTCTTCAAACTCTTTATACCAAAATCACACTTGCCTCTATGCCATCACGTGCTTAACCTCTTCCCCACAGCCAGTATACCTCTAAAACAACCTTTTAAGATCCATGCCCTGCTTTAACTCATCTCTGAAGGTTTCCCTAACCACTCAAGCCCATAACCCTTTTTCTTTCCATTTTTCTATATGCCCATAATACCAACAGTCTCGAACCAGTCAACAAGTAATTAACCTATGTACTTAGTATGATGAGAGCCACAAAAGATATCACACATCTTTTGACTTCAAATCACTTTGTGGAGTTAATCTTGTTGGAAGACACTAGAGAAAAAAAGACTGGTAAAGTGACTCTACAGACAAGAGTACCTGGCTGAAAATTCTGCCTCAATCATATATTTGCATAGACTCTGGTGTTAAATTTGCATAGTATAGTAACAAGCAGCAGTTCTGTGATAAGCAGAGTTGTTGACCTGGAACCCCTTCAGATCTTAAATTTTTTGAGAATCCCAAAGAACTTTTGTTGGGATGTGTTATATTCAGTAATGTACTGATAAATGTTTAAAACCAACTCTTCCCCTTTTCCCTCTCCCTTTTCCACTCTTTAACTCCCTACCAAAAAAAGTCAGATTTGTGATTTCTACTAATTTCCATGGTGTGTATAATTCTGGAATGGCTACTTTTCAACCTAGAAATGTGACATTCTGAATGCAGAATTAAGAAGAGATGAGCAACAGTGGCTCTCTCCAGCTGGTAAGGCTTCAGAAAATCATAGTTGTATCTATCTATACTCATCCTATTAGAAAATAAAATGGAGAAATATAATATTCATTAATTTAAAATAATAATCATTTTATGTTAATAATTTTTAAATTATAAAATAATCTAAATTTTCCAAATAAAAAAATCTGATAAGTATGGAACTGGTTTACGTTTTTATAAAATCCATTAATGTCTTGCTTAACAGAAGGCAGATTCTCACATCTGGTTCTGCACTCAATCTGGTGTTTTATCGGAAGTTATGAAGAAAATGCAGCCTCACACAGAGAGGGAATTGAAAAAGGGCCTCCAGGGGTCTTCCATTCACACTTTGAGAAGCATTTATATATAGTGTACAGTTTGCGTAAAAGATTTTGGTGTTAAAAGGCCATACCAATAGTGAGAATCTGCAAAAGTTTGGTAGTTTAATTAGTTTTTCTCACCTAGTAATTGTATCAATATGAAGAACTCCAACTTTAAATTGACCTGAAAAGTCCACACTATTTCACATGTGTATGTATATTTACATATGTGTGTATATTAATGTATATGTATATATATAATACTTTCCCCTATTCAACCATTCAAACTGCTCAGAATATCAAGGAAAAAAGATAACCATAAAGCAAGAACTTCTCCATTTTTAGGAAAAAAGAATTCTATGCAGCAAGAAAATTTATGAAGCTAATGTATGAATCTTCACTGAGCTAGACATAATATGCAATTAAGCATAAAAGGTACAATTATGTTCTACATCTCTACAAGTGGTCAACTGTACTGTAGCATACATAAGTGAAACATTGCACCACACAAAATAAATCAGAATTACATATTCATTGATGTAAAAAAAAGGCAGCTATCAATAGAATATATTTTAACTCTGAAATTTAACATTTCTGGATTTATTTTTGGCAGTATTTAATTCTTTAAAATGTCATTAAACGGCTTAACAATATGCACACATAAGTTGTACTCAAGAAAAAAATCATTAATTTAAAATGTGCAGAATGACAGAATCAGCTAGTGGTTTTAGCTGAAAGACTGTATCTGCGTAACTGTATCTGTGTAAGTACTGTTTCCCCTGGCTCTAAAAGTATCACTTTAGCCTGGTTTTCTTCTCACTCTTAAAATATCAAGGCAATGTTAAACATGTTCTGTGCCTCTTTCTTTCATTAATCTTAGGCTGGATTTACCCTCCTCAAAGAATAGAATAGCCACTACCTAAAACAGTTTAATCACACTAGCTACTTCAAACCGTTATTATACTTCAAACCACTTCTACTCTTTTAAAAATATTACCTTCTAATTAAAATAAATGCCTTTATGGTCACTTAAGCAACAACAGAATATATTCAAACATAATTACCATATTTTGTAAATCAATGATGAACACATTAAATAGTTTTAAGGGGTGGGCCAAAAAGTGCCGAAAGGTAATCAAACTTTTATGTGACTCCACTGTTGCCTTGCTTCTTCTAAGCAGAAGCTATATTCATTTTCAGTTCTCTTATATCAACATTGTAAGGTGCTTACACAAGCCTGGGCAGTTTAGTCACTTCTGCTCGTACAGATTTTTACACGGAAGAAAATTTTAAAGAGAGGCTGTTTAAATAATACAAGCCTCATTGTATATATGTACTAAAATAACTAAGCTTGTTCTATTAATTAAATTTTACTCTTTGGCCAAAGTCATAAGTATTTCATCTCTTAGTGCATATTTTTTTCTATCACTGCTCCTGTAATCTTTAAAGATCCTGCCTCAAGATTGAAATCTGAGAGGTCATTTTATAAAAGTTTAAAGAATTCTTAAATCACTTACCAATACTGAAAATGACTTATTATATAGTACATAACATTCCTCTTTGAAAACAAATTTGTTTCCGATTGTCTACTGCCATGTTACTATTTTCAGCAGCTACCCTCTCCTGCAAAACTCTCCTCATATCCTACACCACAAAGACTAAGACAGAAAGACGAAAATAAGAATACTAGTTTCCACAGTTTGAGTACTAATTCTGTACCATCATGTTAAGCTCTCTATATACACTTATCTCATTTTCCCTCTCACTTTATCTTTCATTTTAAACCCCTAAAGAGTAGGTAATAGTCCCATTTTTACACTAAAAATCTGGGATCAAGGAAGTTAAGGAACTTATTTAAGGATAATTAGCTATCAAAAGACAAAACCAGGATTTGAACTCTGGTTTCTCTTATTCAGTAGAACTCACATTTTTCCCTAACAATTTTGCAAGCTAACACACCTTATGCAAGATGCATCAGATTAAAATAATTAAGCTAAAGATGTAAGTCAAAGATATTTGTGTATGTGGAACTGGCACACAAGTGTCTCACACAGCACAGTTTGCATCTTTGTGGAAATTTTACAGATCCACGCAAGTACTACAACAAGCCTTCTATTAATGTTGTGACAGTCCTGACAAAAATCTACATTCAAGATTAGTTGCAGGAGGTAACCTTCCCACAAATCTGCTTCATATTGAACCTGTGTTTGTGTCTTCAAGAGTGAGCTGTGATTTGATACTCACAGGCTGATCTACAGTGTTTATGCCTTACCTCATGATGTCAAATATAGGGACAAAGTCTTGGAATGTTACAATATGTACCAAGACAGGCTACTTAACTGCTAAACTACAATCAGAATAATTGATAGGCAGTACTATTCTATAAAGTGCTATAGTCACTATGTAACTCACTATACTATATAACAAAGTAAATAGAAATATCTTGAAGGTAACAAGTGCCACAAGGAATTCTTCTCTAAAAAAGCAAACAATTCAGTGTTCTGAAAGTGATGCCCAAATTCAAATATTAAATTCACAGTGGCTCCAGTGGATTATTAAAGAAAATAACAACCTCGTGGTGAAACTTCCAAAAATTAGAGTTTTGCCTGGTAAAGGCAGTATTTACATTGAATTGGAGCTGTAACTCATCACTTATCAGGAAAAAGATTCTTTGGTGAAGTCACGCTGATCTCTCGAACTATGATGCCTCATAATAAGGTCCCCTAGTAGGAACTAGTATGATATTAGATGGGTGTATAAAAATATCTCAATGGGAAATGCCACTGTGGGCAAACTATTATAGGAATATGAAAGAATATACCACTTAATCACTGATAAACATCTCTACCTCAAGTAAATGTGTTACAAAAAAAAAAATTGCTTACTCTATACCATTTACTTGTTCTATGCCATAAGCTTGCTTAAAGAGGTTGATTTTACCTTTAGCTGAAGCTGTGTATGTTCTAATCTGTTTAGGGCAGCTGTCAAGTAATCAGAGTAAGCAGTGCCATTTTAATAAGGAAGTCTTTTAATGAAATATAATAGGTCACAAATACCTAATTTCTGTTCTTTACTGTAATTGCCAGTCTTTACTATAACTGCCACTTTAACAATCTTTTCCAAATGCTGACACAAAAGATGAACAAATCAAGGATATTAGCATGTGTGTATATTTACAGCTTATTGCTGTCAAAGACTGTAGTTCCAACTCCAGCAGCTATATGAGGATTTGATTCTTTTGATGGGAACATCTTGTTTCAGGTTGTGAATGTATCTGAATTAATCTCCTTTTCATGTCTACATTAGCAATCACACACTAAAGGACACAAAGGAGAAATGTTAAGTTACAGCACAATATTACACTCTTAGGAATATCACAGATACTTTTACTGTCACTGTAAAGGATTATATGTTTTAACAAAACTTTACTCTTCTTGAATAAATTCTGTGCTCCACTACTTATTAGTTCTTAATTTCAAAAAATGTTGTTTACATAAAGTTCAAATAGCCTGTTTTTTTAAGTTTATTATAATCATCAGTTTTATATAAACATCACTTAAATCACACAAAACTACAAGAAGCTGCTGCAAAATTAAATAGAGGATCACAACAAGAGAAAACACAAATAAAAATTTTTTATTTTTAAAAAGCATGATTATTTTGCTATAGTACACTTTTTAAGTTTTTGATAAACTCTTTAAAAATACTTCTCTGAAAACTTCTTTACATGATATCCTTTTTGTTGTTGCTGTTTTATTTTGGGTATACTATTTTTAAGCAGTAGTTGTTTAAATTTGGTACTATTATTGCTATTTTAATACCACAAGTCCTGTGCACAAACAATAGTAGTTTTATAAGAAGGTTGCCCATTTTTGAAAGGCTAAGCTTCCCCAAATCAAACTAGCTTACCGTGAAAAGAAAACCATGACAACTGTTTGTACCTCTTGCTTTATTATTACATCCGGCCTGGTCACTCTTAGAAATTCAATCTATTATGGTTGCTAGGAGTCTGTTGCTGTGCAACCTAAAAGGGTATGCTGTGCTTTCAGGCTAAGGAGTGCTAATAAACCTGTAGGCTTCCCTCTATGGGTCCAACCAGTGTGTTTAAAGGGCTTAATACTTTTCAAGAGTGATTGGCCCACAATTCAAGACACATCCTATTAAAAACAAGTCACACTGAGAGATTTCTAACAAAGGGACAAAATGTTAAACATACACAAATATTCAAAATGTATCCTCAGAATCCCTAACTAATTTGGTAAAACAAACAATGAACAGATTATGACCTACATTTCAATTATACCACCTACCATCCCCAAGTTTTTATTTTCATAGAGTCCCCTAAAAGGTCATAATGGGTATAAATGAACTGAGCAACTTTTAGGGAAAAAAGCAGTACTAAGTACCTTCAACTTTTATAAACTTCAATAATAGAAAAATAAGTTAAACCTAGGAACCCAGAAGTCATGAAGTTAGTAAAAATAAAAACCATTCCCCCCAAAATATTATTTTAAAAATAAAGAAGTTCCACATTTCATTATAAAAACGGACAATTTTTTTTCATCACTTCTGGACAGTAATAATTTTATATTAATTATAAAATCTATACCAGCCTATCATATGCACATTCTATAACTTTAAAGATTTGGCACTTAATAAATTATTCACATAAATTTACTAAAATTAGATAGCATTATTTGAATGTAAATGAGAAGAAAAGCACAGCACAGTTTATCAATGAAATACTGTTAAATCAAATTGTGTGAAATGGATTTTGAAAAGTGGATAGACATTAAGGGAGAGCTTCTAATTCCTTTAGAAATTATACTAATTTGTGTTACTTATTTTTAAATAAGCCGTTTTCATAAGATATTTGGAGACCAAGATGAAGGTGTTCTATCATAAAATACCAAAGACCACACAGACAAAAACAACAATAATCATCTTAACTGAAAATCTATCCAGAACTTTACACGGATATTTTTGCTATATTAGTATTGCCTGCAACTTTGGAAAGTTAATTTTTTTTAAGTTAGACATTTTCTCTACATTCTTGGAAGCATTTAGCCCTTCAACTTAACTATTCTGAGCTGGAAACCCTTTAAATAACCTGTCAACTGCACTACCTTACTCTTTTTTAAGAGCCACGGTTATCTGTCCTTCAATGGTTGGTTTCATTTCTTCTCATTACACACTATAGAAAGCAGAGTAAAAGAAATTAACTGTTTCTCTAAAAGTACCCCAGAGCAACAAACAGAGGAATGTGGAACAACTATCCAAAAAAGGAAGGCCAAGAAATCAACAATGAAGGAGAGCTGAAGTACGCTGAAAGGTGTAAAGGCAACATCTGACGAAAGAACTGAGGCTGAAGCAAGAAGAGAATGGGTTCACTAAGGTGGCTGAGAACTGAAACAGCCTATAGCAAAGCAAAGCACAGCAGAGCAGAGCAAATGGGATAAAAGGGGTAGAAAAAAATGAGAGACAAGAACATGTTAGAAAGAGAATTAAAAGAGGATTTGTTAAAAGAAATGCGGATTCATTTTCCGAATGAAAAGGAAAAAAGAGAAAACAAATATGAAAGTGTATATTCAATGATTACATATTCCTTGCTTCATCCTTACTTCTTTAAAAAATGCAACTCAGAAAAAAAGTTCTTAAAGGATTCAGTGATGTCAGCAGACACAATGTGAAAATCAAGATTAGTAACTTCTAGGCTTCACTTAATTTTACAAAGAATTAATTTGAATACTTTCTAGTTCTCCTGTATGACAAGAAAAATTTAACTTGATTCTGTAGGGTCTAATGTATGAAAACCTTTTAAAAGCAATTTTAAAAATTGATATTTCCCAAATAAGAACAAATCATTCAAACACACACGCTACACATACACACACATTAGTCAATAAAGTTATTAAAGTCAGATTCTACTGAGGAGTATACTAGTCACGAGGCATGTGTTAGGCAAATGTGTTAACTTCCAAAACAGTTATTTAATACTTGGTCAATTACTAGTTGAATATATTAAATAATTCTGTAAGGATCTGATCTTAAAGAATCAAAGTTCTAAACTGGTTACATGAATATTTAGGATCCTGTCAATACTATTAACTGAATGCCAAAAGTAAAACCAGCAAGTATGGATATCTATATTGGCAGTGTCATCGGAATGTGCCTTCTGGTATTCATTGGGTCCTTGTCTCCTCAAGGCTACAAAGCTTCAATATAATTAAGTGTGGCATCCTTAAAAGAAACTATATACTATGTAGCTATAGAAAATAACATATTCCTCCATGCAATTAAGCCTCTTTTTGGAAAATTCCAGTTTTCTTGGACTAGTAACACCCTATTACATTTGCTTCATCTCCATTTACCCACCTTCCTAAAAGAAAATTTTTAAAAATCAAAGATCTTCAGTAAATGCTGCCAAACAGATTTTTTAAATTTCATAATTTTTATCAAGAATTGCAAATTCTTTGATATATAATTAGAGTTGGTAACCAAGGACTTGACTTACAGGTTAGAATACTTTTTTGTACACACGTATTACCAAGTATAAAAAGAAAAATAAAATTACTCCGAGGGCCAAAATTAAAATTATTCCTTTCTCCTGACAGAATACTTCCTTATTTTGTTTCTTCAAATTATTTCAACAATTCGTTTAGCCAAGTTCAAAAAGGATGTTGATATACAACAAGGTATTTTTTTTTTCTTTTTTTTTTTTCCTGAGATAGAGTCTCACTCTGTCACCCAGGCTGGAGTGCAATGGTGCAATCTCAGCTCACTGCAACCTCCACCTCCCGGGTTCAAGCAATCCTCATGCCTCAACCTCCAGAGTAGCTGGGATTACAAGCATGCACCACCACACCCAGCTAATATCTGTATTTTTAGTAAAGACAGGGCTTCACCACGTTTGCCAGGCTGGTCTCGAACTTCTGGCCTCAAGTGACCCACCCACCTCAGCCTCCCAAAGTGCTAGGATTATAGATGTGAGCCACCATGCCCTGCCCAAAGAAATTTTTAATATTAAAATTTATTACAGGAATGTGATACTGATTAGAACTAACTAGAAGAGTAACCTCAGTTAAACATATTTTCTAACTTCTATTAAAAATCACTTTCACTTTTTTACTACCATTCACCTTTATACATCTAAAAACTTGAGATACTGACATGAGCTGATTTTTGAAATTCATAATTGAGGATACTGAAAAGGTACCTTGAAGTATATTGTATAAATCCAAAGGATCATTTCAGTCACATCATATTATGAATGCCAAAAACTCACTTATATATTTCGTAATTTTTAATGAAAGAAAAATACACAGAAAATCTTTCAAAAACATAAAAGCCATCTTAATAAAGATGTAAATGATACCATCTCACAGAACACTTTCAGTCTTTGTGCAGTCTATACTAAATTTGAAAAATTATACAGTATTTAATTCCAACTCTAACATCAGAAATACGACAGTTCACAATTCAAAATATTAAATTTAACACTTGTTTAGCAACTTTCATTATTTTCACGATTTTTTTTTCCTCACCCCTCCATCCACGGGGTAGATAACACAACATACAAGGCAGAGCAACGGACTGGCAATGTGAGTGTTAGCCCTGGGTCATCTTTGTCGGCTCTCTTTCCAAAGGTAAAAAGTAATGGGAATAAGAAGATAGGTGGGGAATAAAGGATTATAGCTGGAACCAGATTAACCATAAGTTGTTAACTTTAAAGGAGAGTGATGGATACATGGAAATTCACTTCATCATTTCATCAAACTGCTCTATGCTGTAATATGCTTAAATGCTTCCTAATCAAAAGAGTTACGAGGAAAAACACGAGAGAAGACTCATGGGTCACCAAAGTCTCTCATACCTCACGTATCTTTTCACACACACGACGGTGGTACAAACAAGTGGAGATACTACATCTTGCTTAATTTTTTACTTTTTTAATGGCAGAAATAACCAGGTACTCGTCTTCAACAGACTCTGGCCCACAGCTTGATAAAATGTGTGCACAGCTGACTCACTTCAGACATAAATGCCTGGGCATATTTGCAAGTATAATCATTGAACCGGCCTTTCAGGATAGAAACCTAGATTAAAAATAAATACTGTATATATAATTGTATAAGTTCAAACAGAGAAAGGTATTTTTTTGTTTTGCTTAAGGTTCCATAAAAATGTCTACTTCCTCAAATAACTTAAAACATATACATATTTATGTTATATTCATATTTTATTTTGTACCATTTTTTAAGTAATCCAACAGAGTACAATAGCCTCGAATACTGTGAAACTGTACATTTCACAATGGATGACAGGCACATAACGCTGAATATCTGACACCGAACTGAATATCTGACATCGAACTGAAATGGAAAATATGATTGTGACACTAGTACACAGAAAATCCCATTCTAAAAATATCAGTATGACAATCTATTTGTCAAAATAATAGAATTTAAGACAAATTTGTCTCCATTAGTAACTTTTATTTAAACAACCTCTCATTTATGTCTTTTTACATGTACAAAGTTTTACAAATAAATACAATTCATAAATCATTATTATAGATGACTAGATGATAGCTATGCTATATAAACAATGACATTCTGTTTCATATAAAACACTGAAGAGCATTTTTATCACAGAAGCCATCATATGCAAAGATTCTGTCCAATTTAAATTAGCCATAAGTAAACTAAGTGTATAACCAACCAAATTAGCAGTCTGGCTAACTCTAATTTCTATTTGCCTGTTACTGTGATATTGACTTTTAACACTTCATGTGTACATGATATTCAATTTTTTAAGTGTTTCCAAAGAGCCTCCAACTTGGAAGAAGGTAGGGTGGACTTCAAGAATTTAATTTTGAAAGTGTATCAATCTGCTTGATTCCTTAGTTTTGGTCAATACATCTCTCTCTCTCTCTCTCTATATATATATATATCAGGGAAAAGCATATAAAAATGATAAAAGGAGGCAAAGAGAAAGGCAAAAAGTGCTGTGTGAGGACAGATGTAAAAATTAGGACTCTTTAATATAAAAGGAAGGCCAGCAGCTATCAAAGTATCAATATTATAAATATACAAAGCCACATTTGAAGACATACCCAAAACCTCCTTCTTTCAGGTCTTTGTTCAAATGTTACCTTACCTGCAAGGTGTTCTTAATCACCCTATTTAAAATTACAACCTTCTCCACCCCCATCATTTACATATCATTTACACTCTCTATCCCCCTGCTTCTCACATGTTTTTTCCATAGCATTGACAACTATCTATTATAATACATACTCATTTATTTTCTCTCTCCCTCATCCCCAATTGTTTGACTATGAGTTCCTTCAAGGGCAGAGGCCCTTGAAGAATGATCAGTTTTATTCATTCCTGTATCCTTCACAGCAGTTCACTTCTTAGCCCCTACTTTATGTGCCAATATTTGCACAAGAATTGAATGAAATAATTTTTAAAAAGTGAAATGAGCATGTATATTAAAACTTATAGAAATTGAAGAGCACTCCTGAAGTCTGAAAAAGAGGTTAAGATGGCTTCACAAATGGCACTAAATTCAGCAACTCATCATCTCGAGAGATGGTATACAATGAAAACACACTGATTAAAATGAAGGCTGGGTAGAATCATGAATGACAACTCTGTTTTTTGTTTTGTTTTTTTTTTAAAGTTTTTTAGGGTAAAATCTCTGTAGTAGACATAAAGGCAGATATTCATACCTTTGCATAGTACAACCCTAATTAAACTATCACAAATGCAAATACGGATCTCACTTCCATAGTAATTCCATTCTGATATTACCTGCCTTGATACTGATACTGGCATTCTGATACCGGCTGCCTTGGTGTAACCCTGGAACTCAAGTCCAGATCCTTTACTTTTGACATCCCAGCAGGCACAGGAAAGTTAGGCAGCAGAAGGAAAAACCCAAGAGGTTTAGGATATTCAAAGTAGTCCCCCAAAGCAAGGTTCCCATAATGCCCCACGTCTCTCCTATATTAAGGAATTCCTGCACCCTGTCACAACTAGAAAATAGAAATAAAGTATAGAATCCTAAAAGGCATTCCCCAACTTCTCAAAGTAAAATATTAGTCTTGTTGGATACTAAGAAAATCCAAACAGGTCTGGAATTATATCTGTATATAGGTAAGTGAGTCTAGCATTTCATATATAGAGAAATTTATACATAAAAATACAGAATGAGGTGACAAAATGTCATTTGAAAAGAAGAAAAAGACCTGGATTAAGGTCAGCCCAATCTACTGCCAGCTACATGATCCTCTATTTGAAGAAATATTCAAAATTCATGAATTCAAGCCATTAAATTCATTTTGGGAAAAAAAAAAAAGGAAGTAAATAAATCCAATGGAAATAATAACAATAAAACTGCATTGCTTGAAAGGTCATTGTAAAATCAGAACTAGACAAAATTTTTAAACAGTTAAATGTGTTTTCTAAACTTTCATCAGAGATTCGAAATCAGCAATCTGAAGCTTAAACAACTATTCATTGTTTCTACTAGAAAAAGACACTGGGTCTCATGCTGAGTTCAAAAATCTTGATTATGGAGTCTTCTGCCCTCAGTAAGCTTACAAACAATTTAGAAAGATTAAGCATTGACAACTGAACAAACAAAAATCTAAATCACAATTTCCAATTAGCAGAGATAATAATAAATTACTAGAAATGAACCCATCAAGTTAGGGACCACTCAAATTTCAGAAGAGATTAATTTACGCAGGGTAGAAAACACATTCTAAGTAGAATAAAGGATGAGAACCAAGTTTTAGAGAAAAGAAATGACAAGGCAGGATTCAGGAGACCATATAGGATAATAATAGCAATTGCCATTTATTAAATACTTATGTGTCAGACACAGTGCTATTTTGATTATGTCATATACTATAATCTTTGAACAATCTTTTCAGGTTGATTTTATTAATCCTATTTCACAGAATGCAAGTAATCTGCCTAACATTAAACTGCTAGTCAGTAGCAGAGCTAGAATTCACAACCAGGGCTGTTCATTTTGAATTTCATGCTCTTAACCAATACATAATACAGTTGTCCCTCCATAACCATGGGGAATTGGTTCCAGGACCCCCATCTTAAAAAAGGGTGCCCAACTCTCTTTTATAAAAAATAGCATAGTATTTGTGTATAGCCTGTACACAACCTCCTGTGTATACTTTAAATCATCTCTAGATTATAATTCCTAATACAATGTAAGTGCTATGTAAATAGTCGTTATACTATATTCACTTTTTTTTATTGTTGTGTTGTTATTTATTGTTGTCTTTTTTCAAGTGTTTCCCATCCTCAGCTGGTTGAATTCACAAATGCAGATCCCACAGACAACGAAATGTAGACTGGTCAGAAAAGGGGAAGTACGGAGAAGAGTCATGAAATGCTAGTTTGAAAATGGACATGAGACTGTAAGCTTCCTAACAGCAAAGACTGTGGTTGTTCTGTGGGACACTGTGAAAAAAAATATTTCTTAAACGACTCTGATGAAGAAGCAATGAGGAATCCTGAAAAGATTCTGACAGACGGAAACATAAAACTCTGAGCTATTTCTAAAAATTCAAAAAAAACCTTCTTTTTAGAGGATTCTATTAATCCGAATTTAAAAGTTAAGTAAAAATGTATCTAGATTACAAATTCATAAGACATTAAGACCACATTCCATATTTGAGTTTCCTTCTCTGTACATCCAACAAATATAGCAGTCTAGTATTTAGTT